GTCTCTCATCAGTGTTGTTACTGTTAACTAAAACAAAAACTAAAACCATTAAAATCGCTTCATTTAATTGAAATAATGCAAATTAAAATATAAACATTATATGGAAAAAATGGATCCTGTGCAGTGAATGGGTGCCGTCAGAATGAGAGTCCAAACAGCTGATAAAAATATCACAATAATCCACCAGTAATTCACCAGTAAAAATGACAAATTTTCATTTTTGGGTGAACCGTTCCTTTAAAGCTAAATAGAAATCTAAAAATAAAATAATAATAATGATAAAATACTGATAAACACATATAAAAAGCACATAAAGAACAAATGACTAAATCTTAAACAAAAACTACAATTAAAATGAAAACTGAAAATATTAAAATAACAAAATATTAATAAATACTACAATAGTATATAAATAATATTAAAATAACAGTCTCTCGTGCCATCTGAGGTCCAAAACAATCACCACAATGGAAGCCCTGCCAAAAATTATTCAGACACCAACTGAAATGTACACTTAGAAAATTAATGGCACTGGATAAGATAACAAATATATAAAAGTGTCCAAATATTATTTTTGGCTTGACTGTACAGCATATGGACAGAGCATACACCATGTCTTCTGTAAACACACATATCGCTGTGAGTTTCATTGCTGAATGCTGAAACAATTATATTTATTTCAAAATAATTTTAAAGAAGTCTGACAAGTCATACATGCTTATAAGCACCAAACTCTTATACAACATTATGCAACTCATTTCCAGTTCCAGTACAGAAAGTGCAAGTGACATTGCAGACAGAGTAGAGTGCATGTCTGCAGCCAGACCCTTCTCACCAGGGCCAATCCATTAGCCTGAACAAGGCACTTAAAATCAGGTCGCTCACGGTTGGTTAAAAGCATCTGCTAAATGACTCCTCACTTGCCAGAGTGTGTAGATTAGTGTAAGTGATTTCAGACTTTTCCAGGATAAAAAAAAATAAAAAATTGACCAAAGTGCTGATAAGATCCACTGGGTGGCAGTAGTGGCACCTCACGGATACAACTAGATATTCAATCTGAATTTCAGTCTTTCATATTCAGAGCTTGTGGGATGTGAGTGTGGGTGTTTACAAAGATTAGTGAAACAAAATAAACCTAGAAACCATTATTAGCCAGGGGCTGGTCACCATATGCTAAACACAGCTTAACCATGTGTGAGTATGTGCAAGTTTTCAGATCATAACATTTAGCCTATCGTATCATATCAAATCATAACATTGTGTCTATGTTAGTGAAAGTAAATTTATTTGTTCTAATTTTGGTAACACTTTACAATCAGGTCCATTACTTAAAGGGATAATTTACCCAAAAATGAAAATTATGTCATCATTTACTCACCCATAAGTTGTTTCAAATCTGTATGAGTTTCTTTCTTCTGTTGAACACAAATGAAAATACTTTGAAGAATGTTGGTAACCAAACTGTTGCAGGTAGCCACTGACTTCCATAGTATGGAAAAAAAATACTATGGAAGTCAAAGGCTAAGGGCAACTGTTTGGTTACCAACATTCTTTAAAATACCTTATTTTGCGTTCAACAAATGATGACAATTTTTTCATTTTTTTGATGAACTCTGTCTTGATGCAATTAACTAACATTAAAACAAGCAATACATTTGTTACAGAATTTATTCATCTTTGTTAATGTTAATTAATAAAACTACAGCTGTTCATTATTAGTTCATGTTAGCTCAGGTCCTTTAAATAATGTTATACTTTTGATTCTAATAATGTATTAGCAAATACTGAAATTAGCTTTAACTGAGATTAATAAATGCTTTACAGGTATTTTTCATTGTTAGATCAAGTTAATTAATGTAGTTAACTAATGTTAACAAATGGAACCGTATTGTGAAGTGTTACCATGATTTTTAGCAATTATTTAAAAAAATAGCTATTTTTAAATTCCGTGATTGCACATCGAGGGTCCAAGATCAGCATCTGATGAGAATAAAATACACTAAAAGAGAATACAATTCCTTGCCAATTGGCTGCTATAGGTTTACAAAAGACTGGCAACGTAATGCGTTGTCTAAAATAAATCTTACCTCACTTCTTTTGCATTTTTGGTGGAAAACTGACCATCAGAAGCTTATCTAGGATGTCTTAAGTTTTATTTCCTCCATAACTCCATGTGGTGACACTGCCATATATGTGAAAAATTCTTCTCATTAAGCCACCCAGACAAAAATATGAGGAACAAAATCAGTCCTGGTGTTGTTCTGACAGGCGGCTTTTCACAGAGCAATGGAGACTGACTCATCTCTTGTACTGTATTATGCAGCTCGCGACACGATGACCTGCACTGATTGTCAGAAATAGGCCTATATAAGGAAAAACAGCTAAATAATGTGGCGAGATATATTTACAGCAAATAAGTTTTCTCAATTCACCTGTCATTGGGTAGTGTGGCAAAAAGTTAATGTTAGACCATCAGCTCAACTCTACAGTACAGGTGCATCTCAATAAATTAGAATGTCGTGGAAAAGTTCGTTTATTTCAGTAATTCAACTCAAATTGTGAAACTTGTGTATTAAATAAATTCAGTGCACACAGACTGAAGTAGTTTAAGTCTTTGGTTCTTTTAATTGTGATGATTTTGGCTCACATTTAACAAAAACCCACCAATTCACTATCTCAACAAATTAGAATACTTCATAAGACCAATAAAAAATTTTTTTAGTGAATTGTTGGCCTTCTGGAAAGTATGTTCATTTACTGTACATGTACTCAATACTTGGTAGGGGCTCCTTTTGACAACTTAATTTCATCCCAGAGAGTCAAAGAGATGCCACCTACAGCCACCTGAATGGCCTGATTCAGTGTGAGGAAGAGCCGCTTGCAGCAGAAGGTAGGTTCGCCGAATGAAACTGCCCTCGCATTATTGAATTTAACACTAGAAATTAATTTAAATGTTATTATTCTTATGTCAGCATCAACGCTTCACATGAACTTTGAGTGAACTTTGAATCGTCACGCAGGTGCCAGCCAGTTAGATCGCCCCATTCTCACATGTTCCGCCATGTGCTTCTCGTCCGCGCTTGTTTACATCAGAGTGCGCACGCGTCTTTCACGCAGCATACAGCGGTGTTGTGCATTTGACCAGTTGATGGGAAAAGTATTCTTAAAATGCATTCAAAATTCTAAATAATTTGTAATATATAATTATTCACCGTGCCCACGATATTCGTGCATATTCATTACCGTGATATATCGCATTACCGAATACCAGCACAAGTCTATTATTGACTTACATTTCAAAATAAAACTTTATAAATTAAACTTTGTTTTAACTAAAAAGGTGCCATTGTCCGGTGAGGTCAGGTTGGGGAGTTACGGAACGATCTCATATCGCATAATCTTAACTGTTTATCTCCTGAACTGCAACTTTCTTTACCACGATATTTAGCGCCAATCCCGCCGTGCAGTCAATTTCACTGCTTAAGGTTAGGGTCAGGTGTGGGGTAGGTTTAGGGGTTAGCATTTTTGTAGCATGTAGAAAATCAACACTTTAATTGACACAACCAATAAAATCTTTAGAATCAGCTGTGGGGCGGAGTTTGCACTGAAGTGGATTGGGGGGAAAATTGCGAATGCGCGTCATGTGCCTGTCTGTCAATGGGAGAAAGCCACGCCCTATTTTGGAGCTCCCACCCCGTTTTGGAGTTCCCGCCCCCATTTGAAGATCTCCAGGCTGCAGTTATACCTTTCTCGAAAAAGGCCCGACTTGAGCAAGATTTTGAGCAGCTTTTTGGGCCGCACTATCATAGCGGGAGGAAAACGGGACACACCACAGCAGCTGAGGAAATACGTGGATATTTCTCAACACCACATATTCCCACCATGGAGAACCGCTTGGAATGGTGGGCCCGCAACCAGGACAATTTTACCCGTTTGACAAATCTTAGCAAAAGCTACTTGGCTGTTCCAGCTACCTGCACCCCAAGCGAGATCATTTTTTTCACTGGCTGGGAATACGATTACCCGACAGCGTGCGAGCCTGCATCCAGCACATGTCGATGCCCTCATTTTCTTGCACACAAACCAGGATCAAAAAGTAAAAGATGTGACTGAGCAGGACTCTGACAGTGAGTAGGCTTATAGCCTTTGTCTTTCATGAGTTACGTTGTTATGAAATCACTTGATATGAATCAGTGTTCTATGTGCTGACGACGGTATGCATTACTTTTGCACTAAAACTATTTGTTATTGTTACATTCTTAGTGGAACGTGCAGTGTTCAATGTGTTGACTGTGCATTTATTTTGCACTAAAATTAGTCCGTGCTAATGTTGCATTGTTAGAGAAACGAACAGTGTTGACTATGCATTTGTTTTGCACTAAAATTAGTCAGTGCTAATGTTACATTGTTTTTGCAACGTGTTATGAGCTGTCTGACAGCATTTGTATATTTTTTTTCCTGCAAATAAATCGCAAATTGTGGCACGTTGCAAAACATTTGCATCTTGTGTTTTATTGATGACGTCACCAGCGGCTAGTCGACCTCAACTCGACTTTAATCACATAAAAGTCGACTTCATAAAATCTAAAGTCGTTCAGCCCCTACCACGTTAGCCCTCTGCTCTTTTTGTTTTGGATACACCGCTCGTTCCGCATCGACAAATCATGCCACATAGCATCGCATCTTGTCATTACTTCCTGTTTTTGGTTCTTTTAAAAGTATTTGGTCTGTGTTGCATTCATATTTCATTCGAACTGCACCAGAGTTCGTTTGGAACCGGACCGAGACCCATCTTTTTAGCAGTCTCGGTCCGCTTGTTCGGTGCGCACCAGGGTTCGGATGGCAGCGTTCACACTTACTCAAACGAACCGCACTAACAGAGCAATCGCACCAGAGTTTGTTTTTATCGAACCAGCCAAACAGTCTGAGTTATTGAAGATTCTGTGTCTTTAGATTTATTATGTAATCATTTTTGCACTATACATTAAGCTCACCATTTTTCCTCTCATGAATAGGAAGTAAGTTGGGGGCGGGCTGAAGAGACAGTTCTTGCAGCTCATTGGTTACGGCGTCACTCTGTGGACTGGAGGCGGAGCCTGTGGTATCAGTAGGGGCACTGGGACCTGAGTCCTCCCTCATAGTCGCCATAGTCAAAAAGAGCCCTCAAAGAAAAAGAGAAAACATTATTAAAAGTAATTACATTAGTCATTCATTGTTAACCTACTTAAAGTTTGTATTTAGTAGGCTTGTGTAACTTTAAAGGGGACATGCTGTAATTTGTGACAACAGTTGTCCAGAATATGTCAAATGATATTTTCCAGGAAAATGTACAACATTGTGAATATGACCTTTAGTTACATAACAAAGAAAAGGGGCATTCTACTTGGAGAGAACATGTGTGTGGTGTAGAGTTATATGATGCAACAGAAAAACAAAACAGTGGTAACAAACTCTGCTGCAAGCATTTTAAGCAGATGACAAACACCATCACCATGGTAACATGTTATAACACTTCACATACAGAAAGAAAAACCCAAGCAGCATCTCTACAGTGACAGATTGTGAAGGAATCTGACATGCCATCATCCCAACACTGAATCACAAATTCAGTCATGGCCACATCTGCTAATGAGGTTCACCATTTCCAACGATCAACTTCCATTTTAGACTGTTTGCAATATCTGGAACATTTGAATGTTCAAAAAGCATAATTGTAATATGTTTAAATGTTCAGGGCAAAAGAGAGAATTTTAGAATGTTTGCAACATCCAAAACATTTCAATGTTCAAACAAGAGATTTGTTGAATATCTGCTACAACTAACATTTGAATGTTCAGGAAAATGAGAATTATAGAATGTCTGAAATACTAGAAAATTTGAATGTTCAAAAACATTTTTTAGAAGATCTACAACATCTAGAGTGTTTACATTTTCCAAAAAAAAAAAAAAAAGATTTTTAGAATGAGGATAATTCTACATGTTCACAATGCATGAGTGTGTGTTTGTAACATCCAGGAAGCATAAAAAATATTTACCACATAACTCATTTATTTAAATAAACTATTATAACATAATCTAACCATTAAATCACAGATTTCTCTTTTTTAAATAATTTCTACGAAAACCTAAGTAAAATGGAGTCTGCTTCCTTCAGAACTGATCTCAAGTTACAAAAATCCCCCTTCAGAAAAAAAAGATCAGTGTCAGATCCTATTACCTTGCTTTGAATAACAGGGAAATCGCATAGTTAATTCAGCTTGTTTACTGAGAAGTTGCAAACGTCAACAAAGCTGCAAACTCAAGCACAGGAGAAGTGAAGTAAGTTCAGCTCATTTACTTGGTATAGCCTAATTATATTTGAGCAATATTTTAAGATTTTTCTTAATTTGAGCCTAATTATGTAAATAAATAAAAAAAGACTACTATATTTATGAATCTCAAATGTTAGTAAATTCTATTGATTCAGTGGGGCTTTTTGCTGAGCTCTTGATGATTTGATTGTGTTACAGTATTTGTCTCATTTTGTTGAATAGAAAAAAGTCATACAGATCAAACTATCCCTCTACAACAGAAAGTAAGCAGAATATGAACACTTTGTTGCAGAACAAGAGAATTGGTTTTGATAGAAAGAGTATCATGTGTTTTCAAAAACGCATTTCTCTCTACAGGATTTGAGTACAGAGATAAAGAGAAGAGTAGATAACAGCTTAGTCAACAGGCCATCTGAGCAAAAAAGTGGTGCTGGAATCCATCACCATGGTGATGAATGATGTCACAATTGGGAAAACATGATTGACAGGCACATTCTGTTTACAACTCGGATTCACAACACAATTGCTTTGCAAAGTCATTTATTTCTCCTCTAATTTCCTTGTTTTTCTTCCCTTTTGTTTGGTTCACAGAACATTTCTGGGTAGTACTACTAAAAATAAGAGTGGGAGCAATTTGTGGTAACTAAAATGTGCTGAGAGCAATGATGAAAAGAGGGAAGTATTGGGAAAAGGGACTGCAAGATTCTCACATGTACAGATGGGGGCAGAATATTAAGCAGAACTAGAGAGTAACTTTGAAGTTGGCTTGAAAAAGCCTAGTCTGAAAGTTTGAAAAAGTTGTAAAAGCTTGAAGTTTGAAAGCATGATTAGCATGTTGTTAATGTTTCTAGCAAGAGTAGCATGTTACTAGCATGTTGATAGCATAATTAACATGTTACTAGCATGTTTCTAGCATGTTGTTAGCATAATTAACAAGGTAATAGCATGATTACTAGTTACTAGCATGTTGCTAGCATGTTGCGAGCACGATAAGCAAGTTACTAGCATGTTGTTAACATGATTAGCATTTTTGTAGCATGTTGTTAGTATGATTAGTAAGTTACTAGCATGTTGCTAACATGTTTCCAGCATGATTAACATGTTGCTAGCATGTTTCTAGCATGATTATGTTGTTATCATTATTAGCATGTTTCTAGCATGTAGCTAACATAATTAGCAAGTTACTAGCATGTTGCTAGCATGATTAGCATTTGTAGCTAGCATAATTAGAAAGTCACTAGCATGTTGTTAACATGTTTTAGCATGATTAACATGTCACTAGTATGATTCTATTATGATTAGCATGTTACTAGCATGTTGCTACCATGATTAGCATTTTTGTAGCATGTTGCGAGCACGATTAGCAAGTTACTAGCATGTTGATAACATGATTAACATTTTTGTAGCATGTTGCTAGTATGATTAGTAAGTTACTAGGAATTTCCTAACATTTTTCCAGCATTATTAGCATGTTGCTAGCATGTTTCTAGCATGATTATGTTGTTTTGCATGTTTCTAACATGTAGCTAACATAATTAGCAAGTTACTAGCATGTTGATAGCATGATTAGCATGTAGCTAGCATTATTAGCCAGTCACTAGCATGTTTTAGCATGATTAGCATGTCACTAGTATGATTCTATTATGATTAGCATGTTACTAACATGTTGTTAGCATGATTAGCAAGTTACTAGCATGTTGCTAGCATGATTAGCATGTTTCTAACATGTTGTTAACCTGATTAACAAGTTACTAGCATGTTTCTAGCATGATTAGCATGTTACTAGCATTATTAGCACGTAGCTGGCATAATTAGCAAGTCACTAGCATGTTGCTTGCATGATTATATTATGATTAGCATGTTACTAGCATGTTGTTAGCATGATTATCAAGTTACTAGCATGCTGTTAACATGATTAACAAGTTACTAGCATGTTTCTGGCATGATTAGCATGTTACTAGCATGTTTCTAGCATGATTAGCATGTTTCTAGCATGTTGTTAACACGATTAGCAAGTTACTAGCATGTTGTTAGTATGTTGTTGTATGTTGTTCATACCTTGAACGTGGTACTTGTTGCTGTCTATCCAGGGCCAGAAAGCTCTCTGATTTCATCAAAAATATCTTACTTTGTGTTTCCGAAGATAAACGAAGGTCTTACGGGTTTGGAACGACATGAGGGTGAGTAATTAATGACAGAAATTAAATTTTTGGGTGAACTAACACTTTAAATGTGGAATAAAACACTTTAAAACATTCTCTCTGACATCCTGACTGTTGAACACTCGCTCAAGCTAATCACGGATGACGACACAGACTTTGCTATACACTTAGACGAAATGTATGTCATTTATTGATCATTATGGGAAACTGATGCTCCAGTGCTGGGAACATATTGCACTTACTGACATCACTAATTGTACATCACTGCAAACTCTAGGCAGACATTATAGTCCAATACACTGTTTTATTACCTCCCAGTCAACAGATCTTTTAAGTCCGATTAAAGTCTGTAAGCAAACCCATTTTGGGGTTTTGGCTACTTTTTAGAGTGAGGAATTGGATCAAGGTATGACTTAAACGCAAGCCTCCAGCATAAGCGCCATGCCTCAACATGTCTTGCATTTTGACTCATCTTTTCAAATGTGGTTTCCTTCAGGTCTTTGAATTGTAAAACTGTGGGCAAATTTCTTATTTTGGCTTTCGTGGTCAGTCCGTTTGCTTTTATCTGGGTCAGAATGCAAAACATCATTCCCTCTGGGATGAATCGTCGCTCTACAAATGCTCTCAGGCGGTACTATCGGCTTCAACAGTGGGCAGTTAGATGGTTTTTCAGTTTACCAAGCAAAACAAGTGAGTCATAGACAAGGCAACAGTTTAAGACTACACACTTCACCCAAAAGATGAGGTCACTGGGTCAGAATATCATGCCGTGTGCCTGGTGACTCTGCAAAGTGGCAGCTGGCTAATCCATGCCAGGTGCAACCAGGCCAACCGCTTGGTACTCACCCAAGTGGCACACATTGCCAACTGACTTTCAGTCCCACAGTCAAACAAGCTAACACTGTTTTTCTCTCTGAGATCCATCAGATTACTGAAGCAAAATGGGTTCTGAATGGCGTTTCATATTGACTTTAACTACTAGGCTATATAGCTACCAAGTTCGCAACCATAGTGGACAGTACTTTTCTTAGTATATTAAGTTAACATAGCATGAAGTAAACGTCTTATGATCAGAGGATCTTGAGGGATGTTAAAACAGAGCTTCTGAGAAGTGCAGAGAAGATCAGGGTTTTGGGAATTGCATATGCAGCAGCAAAATAAACACGAGCAGATGTGAGGGGGGAAATACCCAAAGGTGTTTACGTGTAGGTGCCTGTGATTCGGTTACCTGATTTATTTCCTGCTCAAAAAAGTCCATGTAATTCCATGCCAGGTGTGGGGCACCACTAAATGAAAGAAAGAAAAATAGGAAAAGAAAAAGCACAAAATTAGCTAATAAAAAGACATCTATGAGATCTATTTACATTAGGGGCATTAAGCACAAAAGAATGATCAATTTGTATTTTGTTAAAAGTATTTATATTTTGTTAGAAATATTTAAATGTACTTATATTTTATTTGAATATATATTTAATAAATATTACTATTTATTATTTTATAAATATTCATATATTTCATTCCATGCTACGTTTTCTTTACTTTTTTTCTTTTCTTTTTAACTAGAAGCTGGTAATGATACAGCTATAATGTAAATTCATAATTTCCTGAAATTTAGCTGGAAAACAATACACACTTGCACAGTGCAAAACAATACTCACTGCTTCATAGTTTTCAACACTTCATGAAAATGATGTTTCTAAGACCGTCTAAGATAAGTCATTTTTGCACGTTTCCACAAAACCTCATCTATGTTAGCCCGCTAGATAACATTGTTGTTGCAAATTCTGCTGATTTGTCACCAAGATAATGTGAAATACATCACAGAAAGTTTGCAAGGAATAAATATGCATGCACAAGACCATGAATCTAAAAAGTTCAGTATCAATCAATGTTATTTTAGCATTATTTATAGTATTTATTAATATTTTGAATTACTTTTATTTTTATACTTTCAATTTTCATTGTAACTTTAGTTCAAGTTAAAAAGTTTTGTTATGTGCTTTTGTCTTTAAGTTTTTATATCAGCTTTATTCTAATTACCTGAAGATTTTTTTTTTTAGAAACAAAACAATAACAACATTGGTATCCAAAGGCCTGAAACCCACTCACACTGGGCCTTGCTGAGCCCTATAATTTTTTGTTGCACAGAGGAATGTTCTGGGCTCAATAAAAGCTCTATTTTAACAGCATGCCACAGAAAATAATTTTGACTCATCCTTCAGAATGCACAAAGATACCAGAACAGGACTATTAACATAGACAGAAATCCACACACTAGATTTTTTTCAGTAAATCTAACCAGAACTTAATCCACCTAGAACAGCAGTTCCACCACTAAAAGGACCATTTAGACGACTTAAACAACACATACTTTCATGAGGAAGAATTAAGTGCTTTATCAAAAGTACAAGTTGCACATTTCTGCCGTTGATAAAACTGAACTTGTTTTTAACCCGGAAAATTCCTTTGAAACCTGAGACGAAAAGCATGAAAGTGAGAGTGACTAAAAGAACGCAGGCATAAGAGACACACTGACAGAAATACTGGAGACTGTCGTTTTTATAAATTGAAGCTGGTTTATCTCAAAGTCTCCTGTGTGAGATGATGAAGAAGTCTGAGTTCCTTTTGTCCCACTTTATATTGTCACTATGAATCATAAGCTGACTTAGTTTGAACACACACGTCATGCTTGTTGATCATAAACCGTATCATTATGTGTGGAATATCGTGTATTCATGTTTCCATCCTGCAGTTAAAATGCTCATGTGACAGAAAGAGCGATCAATAAGTCTCATGATGCATGCAATACATCTCAAGACACTTACAACAAAACCTTGAACCCTAACAAGCTTAAAAAGCATTTGACTTAAACCATTAACGTTAATGCAAAACAGGACATTACACTAATGTTTATAACGGTGTAATGCAGTTATGTAGTTCAAATGCATTTTTATGACCAGACAAAAAGTAAAGAGCCTGAATATGATGGTGTTACCATGATACTCCAACACATCTTGGTACTGTATGATTGCAGTATTCATACACTGTGGTATTTACATGGTAGGACAATACCTTAATGTAAAAGTCCAAAATACTACAGCAATACCATAGTACTTTTGACCCAAAGGCAAAATAACACACCTAAAAAGCCCTAAATAACATATGTTAAGAGCTGTCATAACAAGCCAACCCACCTAATGACAGATGCATGCAATAAAAGAATAAAGACACCATGCCGTGATGCATGTTACATAACAGACCCACCTTCACAGCATCAGGACCACAAGCACCCTCCCTTGCCCACTGTGGCCAAGGTGACCTGTATCCCTTATAACCTTCAGTCATACGTTTGACAGCCCAAAAAAAGATGCTGTTTCACCCAGCAAATATATGGCACAGTAACCTGACAAGCAAACCCAGGCCATGTGCTTGCTGCTCCCAACTCCACAGTACAACTTCCAGCAAGCTTATAATGCAATATTAAACACCCTGAAAGTATTCGAAGAAATGACTGCGCATGCACAGCGGCTGCGTGTCAGATTAAGTCTTAAAAATAATAAGTTTAACAGTTGTCTTACCTTACAGTGCTTGATCCATCCCATCTATTGGTATTACACTGGTCTGCAGTAAACGTTTCCGATATCCAGTAAACTTCAACCGGAACCCCGCCTGTTTTTAGGACTCATCCAATAGTGGGCGAGTACTCTGAAGAATGGTATTGCGGATAGCCAATAGGATCATTCAGATGACTCCCGCGACAGGGACGGACGAGGTCTAATTATAATAGACAGTGTGGAACGACAATCCACTAAGCCAATCATATCGCTGCTCGATGTTCTCGGTGGAATAATTGGGCCAATTAGAAAGCTCACCGGTTGTGGTGAAACGCTCAGCGTTGAGATTTTACCATAGGAATAGATGTGTAACATGTTAATTAGCAAGTACATTATTATTGATGCAATAAAAATTAAATATGAATTTAATTTAAATACTATAGGCTACTTTAAAGTGCATAAATATCTTATTTACATTTTATTTTTTACTTGTTAATTTTTATTTTCTCAAAATGGAGGATTCGGCTTTCTGAGCACTCACGCAACCCCTGAAGGAAAACAATGTATTGCCTACCAACATTAGCAATAGTAATAATAATTATAATGATAACAATAGTAACAATAAGTAAAAAATTTTTTATAGCTAAAACATTTTAATTATTTTAATTAAAATGAATGAATTAATAAATCATTATAAAAAAAAAAAATCTTTAATAAATAATCAAGTCATGGAACATTCAATTTTCCCTTTGAGTTTTTAGTTGAAGTACAGCACAAAAAGAGTGATCTTACTGCCTCCTGGAGGCCAATTTATGCAATTGTCTTTCTGACCCTATTAAAATATAGGTTGTTTCCATTGAAAGCAAAGATAAAACTTACGCAAAACAATCAATTTCATACCACATTATCATTGATCGATTATTTTATTGTAGAAACATATTACACAACTTTTATGTGACATCAATTATAAAATCTAAATAGTCATACATGAATAATCTAAATTATTTAGATTTTAAATAATCTGACTGACCCTGGATGTGTGATTATTAATAAATATATTAATCAATGTTAATAGAATCATTGACATTCAAGAATAAACAAACATTTTACATTCATACATAACTGAAACTGTATGACTCAACGTACATTCCAGTACAGTATGAACATCAGTGCGGAGAGGGAAATGCTTTTACTACTTTATTACTCTTTTATCTAAAATTCAGAATGGATTCCCGTGAGTCTATATAAAGCTATAAAGCATGTACCTGAGCCTTGTTGTCTTAAACTTTCTGTGTACAACATTCACAATTCAGACGTGGTGATTCTTGTGAAGTTGAAACACTTGCTGGTTATTTCACATCCCCTTATCAAGAAAGATGAAATTTATTTTTTATGTCCAGACATTACGTCTCAGTGGCTTTGTGTTGTGAAGTAAAATCAAGTATCACCTACAGAACCAGAAAAACCAGCCTGGAAGTTGTTTTCGTATGGTAAACTGTATCAATGCAGGAAGGCTGATCTAAGATCAGCTTCCATTGTCGACAGCAATGATCTTTACAAAACAAATCTGTCACATGCATTATTTTGTTTTTGACACTATGTAAACCAGTCCAGATCTGTTGGTATTCATAAACAAAACTAGTTCATATTTAAATGCTCTTTAAAAACCTAAATAAAATACTGACCAAGGTATTGACCTAATAATTATCTATATTAATACACTATCAAATATTTGGACACATTTCTGAATAACAGTAAAGTCATTAAACTATGAAATAACACAAATGGAAGTAAGAATTATGCAAAAAAAAAAAAAAAAAGGTTCAAAAATATAAAAAAATTCTCTATTTTATCCTCGTTGAAGTAGCCACATTTTATATCTAGTTTATACTTTAAACCTTGTAATCTTTGAATCAGTGTTATTTTAGTATGATGTATATATTAATAAAGCATTATTAGTATTTTGAATTAGCTATTGTTTTTGTATTTTCAGTTTTCATTCTAATATTAGTGTTTAAGTATTTTTTTTCTTTAATTCTTTTTTGGTCATTTTTGTACTTACAACTTAATTATTTACTTCAGTTAGCTGCCAAAGCAACATTTCTAATGTTCGTTTAAAGTTTTTTGTCTCCTAATATTTATATTTTATTTTAGAAGCAAACAGCATGTTATTTATTTCAATTACCGAAAATGATTTTTAAGCATAAGCCTATAGATCAAAATGTTTTAAAGATCACGAGGAACACAAACTGAGTCAAGTGTGTCTGTCTATTTCGTCCATTTCTAAAAATAAAAAAAACCACATATCAACTAACAGGTATACTCAGTTCCTATGACATCAGCGAGCTAATAAACATCCTGTGAGAGGTCAGTGGGACGCCATTGTGCGTTTGACCCCCATGACCCTGAAGGTGGTGTTGGCGATCTTCTCGTACAGTAAGAACATGAGTGCAGCAGTGAGGACCGTCTGAAGCAGCTTCGCCTCCAGGCCTTTAAACAATCCCAGCACGCCCCACTTCCTGCAAAAAATCAATCAACAAGCATCTCAGGTCGAGTGGAGGAGTTCAGATGTTACCAGAAGCCAATGAATCACTTGACAATAACTTGTGTGACAGCTACGGAACTGATATTTGTATATGCGTATTGCTTATTGATATTTCAAGTGAAACGTGTGTGTTATTCTACCTGACTCTATTGGTCAGCAGGTACATGACAGATCTCAGGCTGTTCCGGAGTCTGGACTGATCTGCAGGCTGCCCATGCTGTCCAAACTAAACACAAATGAGAACGACAGTTAAAATAGACAATATTATCATTACACAAACAAAATTATAGCTTCAGAAAAAGTGTGTTTCTCTGGTTTCGTCTATCGCAGTGGTTCTGAACTGATGGATGCAAATGCAATTAAAAAAAACTAAACTAACCATATAGCCATACATAGTTTCGGGAGCGAAAAAAAAACACTTAAAAGAGAGGAAAAAAACTTTTCCCTTACTTATCTATTGTCATTGACGTCAGTGGTCACGTGTCCAATCTGTATAGTTTTTTGGTGCAAATTCATCTGTGCAATGTGACACGTTTTATTACTGTCCTGTTTTATTATATTTAAAATGTAATTTATTCCTTTGATGGTAAAGCTGAATTTTCAGCATCATTACTCCAGTCTTCAGTGTCACATGATCCTTCAGAAATCATGCTAATATGCTGATATGCTGCTCAAGAAACATTTCTTATTATCAATGTTGAAAACAGTTGTGCTGCTTAATGTTTTTGTGGAATCTGTGATACAGATTTTTTGATGAATAGAAATTGTAACAATGTAGAATTAATTTAATGCATTCTTGCTGAGTATTACTTTCTTTCAAAATTTTTCTTACTGGCCCCAAACATTTAAATGGTTATATATTAGTTCCTTTCAAATAAAGTATTATTTTTTTCAAAATGTCTTACTGACCCCAAACTTCTGAACAATTTTATATATAAAACCAGGGTCCTGAAGCAAAACCAGTTGAGAACCAATAATCTAATAAAATATAAATATATGTATTCACAGCCCGTGAATATAATTATAAACCAAATGTATTCTGGGGCCGGTTGCATAAACTGTTTAGACTAGTCTTAAAAAGTTAGTCATCTAATTTTTTTTCTTCAAGACTGGTCATAACTTTTTTAATTCAGTTATGAAACGGTAGATTGGTCTTATTTGTATTGGAAAAGTAAGACTGATTTCCCCTTGGCTACTGCTAGTTGGTCACACTAGTTCTTAAGACACAGTCTTAACTTGGTGGCTAAGTTTATGCAACTGGCCCCTGCTGGTCTTACCCGTAGAACAGACTGAACTGTCTGTAGTGGATAGGTTATGGTGGTTGCAATGGCCTTGGCAATGGCTCCAATAAGAAACACCTCCACTGAGGATAGCTATAAACAATCAGACAGAAATATAGTGAAAAATAGTCAAGTTAGGGGTTAGTTCACCCAAACAATAAAAATTCTGTCTTTACTTTCTTACGCCTGATGTCAGTGACGCCAAACACCATTCTTGTGTCTTGTCAAGTGTGAATATGTGCAAGTGCACATAAGATTCACAATTATGATGGAGACCAAGAATTTTGGTCAGTTCCTCACATAAAGACTTTAAATATAGTGTACAATTCTACATTACAGAGATTACATTTACTTTTGTTATTTGGTAAAGAGCTCCCAGTGCAAACATTCTTCCATTTTTTTTAATTTTTAATTTTGTTTCCACAAAAGAAAGAAAGTCATATTAGTTTGAAATGACACCCAATGGTTTTTGGGTGAAGAAACTGGGATATGTAGATAAATTAGCACATTGAAAACTCATTCATGCTGTTAACACAGAGGAAGCAGCACATTAAAAGTCAAACCAAAAAAAACTGATATGTTCTAATTGAAACTTCAATGGACTGTGACATCATCCATGGTTGCCAAGTTACATAATCTTATTGCCATGTTGCTATGGTAACAATGCACGTCTACAGCCACATGTGGGGTGGTTTTCTCATACTCATCAGATGCTTGCACATGAATGCTAATCAACATCTGCATGCTCTTAAATATCAGAAATGCTGCAGTTACTGTTTCCCAGGAAACAGAGAACTTGTTAATAGACTTGTCTGTTTATTCATAAGCTGTCATAATTGAGTATGCAGAGAAAAGTCTCTAAGTGAAGATAATTCTAAATTTTTACATTACTGCATTAGCTTTAATACTATTAAAGCTGCTTACTATGAATTTTACTCAAATTTAAACCCTAAAAACTGTTCTTGGATCAGTAGCCTGCTCTGACCTCTCTGTGGACGCCCCTTATGAGCTGCCTCTTCAGACCCTCATAGATCATGAACTGCACAGCTGGATTGAGCACCAGCAGCAGGGAGGGAAACGTCCCGTTCCATAACGCACCCACTCCTTCCTGCTGCATGATCTGTACAAACGCATCTAAAGAGAGACAGATCACCTAATATCATCACTGGACACACATTTGAACTAAAGGGAATGAAATGAGGTTCACATCTTTTATAATTACCAGTAATTCCTTTGTAGTGTGTGGGCTGTATGTCTTCATTTCTGAATTTCG